ATGTCCCCCTTGCTACCACATATACTGGGTTGTAGTCTCCCCCTCCCTGCTTGTGCCTGGAGAACTGTGTTTGTTTGGCTGTCCTGGGCCTTACTAGCTGTAGGACTGGGTTTGCTTTGCTGCTCTGCCCTGCACCAGGGTCTCGGGCCTTATTGACTGGAGGACTGCATTTGCATTGCTGCCAGCCCTGCCCTCAGGCCCTGTGGCTTGAAAGGAGCTGCTGGACCTTTACTTACAGGCATGAGCACAGGTCAGGGGCCCTGGACTAAGGCAGCCAGCTTACACCACCCACATCAGCCTCCTCCTGACCCCAAGATTTCCCTGTCATAGCCCCACACCTAGGTTCTATCCTGTTCCATAACTTTCTCTTGACAATTTCTTGTCCATTCCTAGTCAAGGGACATCGGGAGCAGACATCTGAGGACAGCCTGGCTTCAATGCCACTGGAAATGATAGTAGATAACAGATGTCTTTGCAAGGGGACGCAGTATTTTAAAAGCTAGCTACAGGGAAATAATAGCCATTTTGATTGAGGGAAGTCCGTGGCTTCAGTCCCATTGAAAATAATGGGAAATGATTTACAACTTTGAATGCGTGTAAATGTGTTTGGTGCCAGTAATTATAAGCCCATGAGAAACTTAAAATAACCCTGCCGAATATCATATGCTTTTCAATAAAATCACAAGAGTTGCCAACCCTTGTGAATTAATAGCTCACAAGCCAGTATTAGAATCTGAAAAGGCACTGGCTCATTATAGAACATTCCATCATGGTCAAGATCTCAGTCCCTGTCTTGAAAGTACTAAGCTATCTAGGCTCACGTTGACTGAAAGATCATACAAAGCACTGGCAATGTGACTACTCTTAACAGTTCTGCTCATTGGTATAAAGGAATTGCTCACTGTAAGGGTATGTATGGGACAGGATGTTCTTGGCAGCCAACCCCAGAGTGTAGAACTCTGTTGTCTACACTTTGATTTTAAAAAATTGCATAGCACCGAGTCTCAGAAACTGGGTCTTTCAGGGGTCATACTCCGAGAACCTCCACACTCACGGGGGGGGGACGGACCTCAGAGCCTGACTCCAATCTGAACATCTATCCCACACTTTTATAGCTTCACAGCCTGAGTCCCATGAGCCTAAATCAGCTGTCCCAGGCCAGCTACAGACATGTCATGGGCCTATCATAGTATAGCTGTCCCTTAGGTCCTTCATAACATAAAGGTGGCTAACTTCTTGTCCAAATGGAACATGCAAGTCTTCAGTCTCACTTTCACTTAACACAAGCAGGGAGTATTTCACTCTAAAACAATAAATGCTAACAAATAAAAAACACCCTGTACAGATTTCCCTCGGGGAAAAGAATGAAGAAGTAATTTTACTTGACAGTTGTTAATCACCTCACTTTATAGATGAAAAGCAGCCACCAAGGGCTCAGGGACAATGTGTCAGGCAGCGGCTTGGCTGGAAGGAGCAAGGCCAAGGGCAGTCAATCCTTAGCCCTCCCTTCAGCCATCAGAACTGCATGGAGTGAAGGAGCGGCACTCCTGCAGCATTTCAAAGAGGCCCAGAGCTCCCAGACACCACTGCTGCTACTGTGGCCATGGGGCAGGGAGCTCTGGGCCCCTCTGAAATGCTGAGTGAGGTATAAGAACCTGGAAGAAAAGGGGAGAGAGAGAGAGAGAAAGAGACCTTGTAAAAATATTTTTCAGATTGTCAAATAATTAATAAATAACTAGTGTCTGATTTATGTTGTAATTCACAATGGGGAAAGTAATTAATACATTAAAGCAGCATTTCCCAGACTGCGGTCTGCAGCCCAATACCGGTCCTTAGGAAAAAAAATACCAGGCCTCAGAAAAATTTTTGCGAGAGCCCACCTCGCTGCCAGCAACCCCTAAGATAAACACCGCGCTGAACTCCCAGTGTCAACGGAGGCAGTGCAGGCTTCCTGCGGGGTTGGGGGGCAGGTCTGCAGCTGTGTGCCAGGTCCCGGAAGTGTGCGGGCTGCTCTCCCCTCTGCCCCAACAGTCGGCGTGGTACATAAAATGCTGGTCCATCACGCGCTGGGGACTCTGTTCCCCTGCTGCCTTCCTGCACATGGGGGAGGGGTGGGGATCCGGGACTGCGCCGGCTTCAGCTGCTCAGGCGGTGCGTGCGGCCGTGGGGAACGGAGGAGCAAGGCAAGCACTGCCCGAGTGGTTGGGGCTGGCACGGTCTGGGACTCTCCCTCCCCCCAGCGCAGGAAGGCATCAGGTGTGCAATGGACCAGCGTGTCAGGTACTGCGCGGCTGTTTGGGGGACGGGGGAGCAGCCTGCACACTTCCTGGGCCTTGGCAGCTACAGGATCCCCAGGTATCGGTCCCTGTACCCTCCCCCCCCAAGACTTGCACAAGTACCCAGTCCCAGCACCCACAAACACCCTGTCCCTTGCCCCAGCATCCGCAAGCACTCTTCCACAGAACTCTGTCCCAGCACCCACAAGCACAGTTGGGGCCACATTAGTGAGGTTTGAGGGGTTTGGAGGTGTTGTGGTTTTGTATCTCACTTGTGTGGCCCTGACTGACTTTGCTGTGGGCTAAAGTTGGCACTGGGGGTTTTGGGAAGACCAGAATATTTGCATATTCATTTGCTTAAAGAATATGCAAATAAATGTTACTGGTCCTCCAAAAGCTCATGAATGGATTTACTGGTCACCAGTATCAAAGTTTGGGAACCCCTGCATTAAAGTATTTTATCATTATGGTTGAAAATCTCCCTACATATACACAGTTATTCCTGCATAGGGACATTTCTGCTCCAAGTGGAATTAATGGTTATAATAAGCTATCATTTTCTCTTCCTTCACCAAGATGCCTTTTACTATAATTGCACTATTAATACACTTTATAAACTCTCATCCATAAATGATATTTTTATTTTGTTATAGATTCTTTTATTGAATCTATTGCCACATTACCAACCCAAAGAGGAGCAGCATGGGCAGCAAACAGTAGGAAAATCTTCCTCACACTGGTTCAACTTGGAGGTATCATGTAAGAACTTGAGGAAGTTCAGTCATTTACACTTATTTAATCAGATCTTGGGACCAGTTATAAGGAAGCCTGTAAGGGTGCATCTACATAGCACAGTTAGTTTGAAATAACAATGTGAGCGTCTACACAGCAATTCCATATTTTGAGATAATTTCGAAATAGTGGATGGCTTATTCTGAAAACTGTAAATCTCACTCCATGAGGAATAGCACTTTTTCTGAAATAGCTATTTCAGAATAACATCGGTGTGGATGTGCCACTGCCATTATAGTGAAGTGGCTCCTTCCCAGGCCCATTCAGAATAATTACTCTCCAGTGCCTTGCAGGGGAAGGATAGCTCAGTGGTTTGTGCATTGGCTTGCTTAACCCCAGGGTTGTGAGCTCAATCCTTGAGGGGGCCATTTGGGGCAAATCCATCAGGGATAGTACCTGCTTTTTCTGAGAGGGTAGGGGGACTGAACTCAATAACCTCAAGGTCCCTTTCAGTTCTATGAGATAGGGGCTCTAATTCAAGGTAGTATGCCCACATTAGGGAAACCTGCCTTGAACTAATTTTGAGGCTTCCCTGTTGTGTACATGTGCTATTTCAAAATATGCTATTTTCAGAAAATTCTGAAATAGCTTATTTTGAAATAAGTGTGCTGTGTAGACATACCCAGGAGTTAATTATAGCAATTGTTTTAGTAATAAGGATACTACCCTCTAGAAACTGAAATGCTATTGCCTACTGTTCCTGGATAGGCTACAGAAAAAAATAGCCCACTATTGGCCTGGATCAACTTTATACTGAGATCTAGAGGAAAACGTCTTCATATCCATTTATCAGTCCTTAAAACCATCTGTTCCTCCTATGCTTTTACACTTGTAGCTCTTGTTGTGCTATGTTCTTGCATAGAACTTTCACTTTTCAGTTAAAATCCAACCAGCGAGTAGTTCAGGAGGGGTCAAAACTGAGCCTGGAACCCTGTTGAAACTGCACATCTGGCATCTAGTTCTGTAATAGGCTAAAGCAAAACCAGTGAAGCAAATGACTTCAAATGGTGGAATGATCAAAACTGAAATTCAGATCTGAATTTTTTGCTCTACCCCTTCTGTGCTAACTATATAACTTGTATGCATGAACACATTTTGAAATGAGCATGTTAAAAGCTGGATATTGAGCCAGAAATTCACAAATAAGAGTAACATCAGAGTAGTTGTATTTTCTATTGAGTAAAAATAATTTACTTAGTATAATTTACTATTGTAGGAAGTAATGCAGCTGTCTTACTTAAAATACTCTTCTCTTCCACATGGAGAGAGAAATGACCACAAGAAATGTTCCAGAAAGCCATTTCATTCCCATGTGGCTTGTTTTGCTAAATCAGTTGCAATAAAGATCTGCTCCAAATAGTGCATTTTTTCCTGCCTCAACTTATTTTGTTCTTGTTTAGTAAAACAGATTTCATAAAAGACAGGATTGTAATTTTAATAAGATTTGTTAAAATAGCAGAACTGTGGTCAGAGAATTGACTACATGAAGTGATTTGTTTCCTGTGATCATTCCTCCTTCTCTACCACTAGCCCATTTAAGAATATGAGCAGGAGAGGAAATGTTTTATTAGCCTGATTTAAAATTCATCCTTAATAGCTAATTAATTATGTAATCTATTATCAATCTCATCAATTATGAGTTTCAGTCTTTGGAGGACTGGGAGTGTAAGCAGTGAGAGGTTGTCAGACCAGTGAGTGCTTTCATAGATCAGTGACACAATGGTGTACAGGACAAGTGTCCTTCTAATGTTGATATCGGGCCAAATTCTTAGCTCAGTATGCATCCCTTTTACTGGAGAATTGTGCGGAGGCTATCAATTCAAGGAAGCACTAGTCCCCAGACTCGTGCTCATCTGTTCCATGAGAGGGAAATGGTTTGTGATTTAATGTAACAGTAGAGTTAAGGACCTAATTTCTTGTTTCCTCTAAAAGCCTATCACCTAACTCTCACTACTGTGTGACATCGAGAGACTCCATCCTGGGATGTTACTCTGCCTTCCCACACTTATGACCTCCCAGCAAATCCGGTATGATACACATCAGAGCAGGTATTAAGGTTGTCCCTGTGATGTCTATAATAGTTTTGGCCTCATATATGTACTTAAACATTAGTTATAGATCAATGGTAGGCATTGTCTTAACTACAGTTAACAGATATGTCCACTCCTGGAATTTTATTAGTGTTCAGGATTCCAACAAAAGTGATCTATTTATATGGCTTTGCACCTTTTCCTCAGCAGTGCCATAAAAGGAGAAGGATTAACAAGGCACCACAGGGTATTATGGTAGTATCCCCAGAGTGACAAAACAGCTTCAATAAATGTAATCAGAATTGCCAAGGTTTGTCCAAATAAGGTAGAAAATCTCCTCCTCTGATTCCATAAACGGTCATGTTCCTTTCAAAAGGACTTTTCTGCTGGATGGATTGGATCGTTATTTCATTCTGATTCCATTTCCAGTAACAACAGGAATGAAACTCTAAGGCAGGGTTTCCCGACCTATGGGTCGGGACCCAAATATGGGTCGCCATTACATTTCAAAAGGGTCACCAAGTGTCTCCCCAGGTGGCTCTGCCCCTTTCCTCCCCGTTTTTGAATTGCCTTGGGTCACCAAGTCTTCCTGAATTGTCAAAATGGGTCCCCATCTTTCATCTTGGTGTATCAGGGATCAGTAGTTACTCTAAGGTCTGACGATCCATTGGCACCAGAAATGAAGCACTGGTAGATACGCAGATAGCAAAGTCAAACTGGGAGTATTGTTACTGTAGTAATTTCAGGGGTCTATTTTCTCCTTAGTGCTTATTCAGAGTAACAGTTTAAATGGGGGTTCCTTGCACAGCTTAAAGGGAAAGAATCCTACCTTTGTGCCTGAAGAATCTGTTGGCTGAGTATTCCTTGCCAGCCTGCTTTTCTTACTTTTAAATAGTAGATTCACTGAAGCATTTTAAATAAGACTAGTTTTTAGAAAAAAGGATACTGTATAGACATCATTAAGGAAGCCATTCTCCCAAAATGGGTATCAACCAAAATCTATGCAGAACCCTAAGTCATGTTGTTCAAGAACTTAATTTGCACTAAATGATTTACTTTTGTAAAGTTGCAGAAATGGGCCCTAATGGATCTTTATCTTCATTTTCTGTTGCAGTGGATTCTTCTAGAAAAGACTGAAATATGAACAAGAAGATATAACCTCAAACATTTTCTCCTACAAAACTAGTGTTTTATGTCTTGCTATTTAATGAAGACTATAAATAGTTAATCTGTGAAAATATCTTGAAAAATGGCCTTTTTTCCCCCCCTGAAAGTAGTCTTCTTACATGTTTGTTATTTATACTAGAGGAGAATAGGAACCATTCGGAATGAATGAAATGATGCATTATATTATGATAACATTTCTACATTATTTTGGTGTGTTACTGAAACTGAGTTCATAATAGACAAGAAATGCCTAAGAAAAAAAATCTGATTGATTAAAGTCACCGGGTGGGTGGCTGTGTGTGTTTCATGCTTCTCTGATTCTCCTATTCTGCTAGGGTTGCCAGGTGTCCGGTATTCACTCGGACCGTCCTGTATTTTCAGCTTCTGTCCGGTAAAAAAAAATTCAGAGAACACCGGACACCTAAAATGTCCGGTATTTTCTGAATTTTTCCCTGGCCAGGAGGCGAAAATGCCAGGCACCTGGCAACCCTACAAACACTCAGTGCCCGGCCTTCTCCTCTCCCCACCCCCAACATCCCCATGCTTACCTGGTTCCCCAAGGCTGCCGGCACAAAATGGCTGCCAGCCAAAAGACCTAGGGGAAGCAATGCTTTCCCCTGGGTCTTAGTGTTCAACCTCTCCCCCGTTCCTATCCCTGCACTTAAAGGGGACATGCTGTTTTATTTGAAAAAAAAAAAAATTCTTTTGGCTTAAGTCCTTGGAGTCCTTTTTTCTTGCTCAACGACTTTGGTCGTCCCCTCCCCCCCGTTTTTTTCCCCCTTCAACAGAATTTGTTCCCAGTGGGTTTTTTGTGGGTGGGGTTTGTGCGGTATATTTGTTTCAACCATCTGGCAACCCTATATTCTGAACATTTCATATACAAGTATGTACAATCTCAGGACATGATTCTACAAATATTTAGACACATGGTTATCTTTATTCACATGTGTAGTCCCACTAAAGATCTAAAATGCTAACACTGAGTGAGGAAGTGTTTTGGGAGCTATGTAAGTACAGTTCAGAACATGAATAAATATGTGCTGGATTGGAGGCCTAGGATTCAATCCTTCTCCTGTGGATATCTATTTAAGTTTGCTATTGAGTTAAAAGGAATCAGGCTCTTCCATCTTACAGGTTGCATTTTTTTACCCCTAAATATTTCCTTTACAATGAAACCATCTGCTAAATTTAGACTACCTTTTTTAGAATTTATTTTATGAACATTAAAAAAAAATCACATTGTAAAAAGGCATGCAGGCTTTTGAAATGCCATTTGTAAAATGTTCCAACTATGTACAACTGGCTCAGTTACTGCAGTTCACAATTGCCATCTGAACATCTATTTTTCCAAGCATTTAAGAAAAGTGATGTGTACATTTTTCATGTGTAATTAGGCAGTGTAATGCGATCCCTTGCTGCAGTCAAGCTGCCATGTGCTGTAGCCTCACTGAATAGCTTCCAGATTTCAACCCAATCTTTTCTGTCTAGACTCTACGTTGCTATTTTTTTTCTCCTAGCTTAAAACAGACTCCAATATAAAATGCCAAAACCAGAAGTTTTTGTCCCTCTTTCTCATAAAGATGTGGGACAGCTCTCAGGCCCAGACGAGAGCTGGGCCCAGACTTTCATAAGACACGTGTCGTCTGAAACTGACATTAAAGATTGTGCAGGCATGTCAGCAGGTCATGCGCACACAAAAATGCTTAAAAATATGGTTTCCATTAACAAAATGAGTATTTTTAGAGAGGTGTGGTTCAGTTCAGATGAAAAAGAAAGAAAAAAATTAAAGCAGCGTAAGAGATCCCAAACTGCAACATTATTTATATTGCTGTTGAAATGTGGTGTATTCTCTTTATAAAGCTTTTTTTTGGGAGTGAAACAATATATCCCAAGCCAAAACCAGGTGCATATCCTGAGGAGAGTGTTTATAATCAGAGTTAAAGGATAGCAGATTTATACTAAAACAAACTATGTAAGAGAACCTTGCGTCTTAAGTGCATTGTCTTAATCCTGAGAAATTGTACAATATCTTCCATTAAAAGTTCTTTACCCAAAAGAAAATAAAGTTAAAATGATTTCACTGATAATTTCAAAGAACTGTATATGGTTGTAATATAGTTGTAAACTGCATCTTCTGTTATCAGCTTTTTATCAGATGACAGTTTGTTTTATTTCAACTGTGTCAATATTGATAAAAAGGTCCAAAGAAATGATTCAGTTCTACAGAAAGATGTATTTGTGTAACATAGGCAATAAACTAGGTTGAATTTCTTCGAACTACATTTCTGTCCATTTGTTCTGCAAATTTATTGCAGATAATGTATACTGGAATAACTATACCTTCCAAAATCTCCTCAAACTACAGTTGCTTTGTCTTTTAGTCTAAAATATTCAGTCTTTTTGTTTCATGGGATTTCTTTGGGGAAAATGTTCATATGCTCCTTTTTTGCAATTTTTCAGTGCTTTTATTTGAGATCTTAATGACTGTTTCCACAGTGAAAACATGGATATTTTTGAATATTTTGTAGGTGACTGGCACTCTAGCTTGCAAAATTGGCCTATTTTCACTCAATTTCTAAATGGAAGTGTGTTGTGTTGTCTCAAATGCCCATGCTTGCTGGAAAAGTGGCCAATTTTTAATTACAAATCCATACTATAGCAAACTTTAAAAATATAGGTTTTTTATTAGTAGAAAACTCTAATTTTGAATCATTGTTCATACTCTTAAGAATATTTTCTCACAAACCTATAAGGAAGTTAACTAAAAAAATTGATTCCTAAATGAAGAATTCTGTGCAACTTGAAACAGTGGACAAAAGTGAACCAGATATTCACAGAAATTCTATCACGATTAATGTATTTTAAATCAAATTTTACAGTAAAATCAAGATTTGTTAAACAAAAATCCTCAAATTTCATCCTAAAGTTATCATATTTAGGGCTTTTCATCCACTGAGTTCAATGTGCTTTTCAAAGATGAATAAGTAATATTATGTTTATTTGAACAGATGGGGAAACTGAAGTACAGAAAAAAGGGCCTGGCCCAAAGCAGCTACGCAGTGAGTCAAGGGGACTAGACCTAGTATCTCCTGACTCTTAAGTTTTGTGCCCTCTTAACTACATTGTGTTGCTGAATTTAAAACACGTTGAATTTATTGCTGAACATTACCAAGTGCCATTCAATTTTCCATTTGAATGTCAATAGCCATAGTAGCATAACTAGACATAGATATACAAGGGCCATCACAGTTGTTGAATTAAGGACCTTACAGTATTCTGCACTGTTACAACTCATGCAGCCCAACTGACTACAATGGTGATTGCACAAGTCATTGCAGAATTTGGATTGACATGTCTAGGCAAACTTTGTGTTTTATACAGTGTCTACCCCACTCTGTACAGATATCACAGATTTTGAGGCCTAAAGCCAATTCTGATAACTATTCTATCGTCTGACCTGCATAACACAGACCATAGTATCTCACCAGCTAACACTTACATTCTGGCTTTTATCTTGTAATATTGTTCATTGCTATTGCACTCTTTGTAATATAGATACATCATTAAGGGCCTGATTCTGATCTGCATCCCACACATGCAGAGCCCTCCTCCTCCCCCCCCCCACTGTACAAATATGAGAATTTCTCATCCACCTGCATGCAAAATTGCAGTTGCCCTGAGATCTTGTCATCCTCCACGGGTCATATTTTGACAGGTTATTATGTTTAACACAGCTATTTGCGTGCTTAAACAAAGTGAGGGTGATTTTGGTCTGAAGTACCTGTTCTTGTATATCTATCTGAAAACAGAGTATAGGGAGCATATTTCCTGAGTGTAATATTAAATGTACTTTTTGAATAAACAATGCTCACATTCAGAATCAGTGAGGAGCTGTCTGCATACAAGTGACTTTAAACATTCTCCAGCTAATTCAGAGATCCAAACACAAACCCGTGCTTAAGGACATCACATAGATTTGTGATACTTTGAGACTATAAGCCAACAAGTGACTTATGCTGCTGCAACATATAATTTTTTCACCAGTGACAGAAGAGTCTTCATTTAATAGCTAATCTAATCATAAACCAGTACAAAATAATGTTACAAATTAAATACATTCGTTATGTTCATTAGTTCAGAAAATCATGCATGAAAGAATTTCAGTAGAACACACATTACTTATACTAAAGAAAACTGCAATTTATTGTGGCATGACTCAGTAAAATGAGGGGAATGTGACACAGGTTGAATAGTGAGGTATGCATAGATAGAATGTTCTTGAAAAAAACCTCCTTCGTGGTCTTACTTCACTGAGCTCTATGCTGCTATCAAAGCATCAAAAAGTTAGCATGTAACTTTGTGAAATATGTATATTACACATATATAATATAATTCAGGAAATATGTAACTAATGACCACTATAGTCACAAATTTGATATGAAAAGTATGTCTGGCTATATATATATATATATCATACTTTCCCCCCACCCACCCCAGTTCATACATTGTATATCTTGGCTAAGCTCTATGTAGCCTGAAGTTTTGGGCAAAGATTGTTGATTCCTCCAATAATAATCTCAGTTATTATTCTGCTTTACAATAAAGTCAGTCAATAAATGACTTGGAAGTCTGTACTGGATTAACAAGACAGATGTAGCACAAGACAGAACAAAGCTATGTAAATACAGATCTGTACACAGACATAAAAATAAGTAAAACGCTGATCATATATGCTAAAAACCTGGCTACTGAAACCCCATTTCCTGAAAATTCATAGAATCAGAATCACAGAACACTAGAACTGGAAAGAATCTTGAGACCCAGTACCATCTAGACCATCCCTGATAGACATCTATCTAAATATCTCCAGAGATGGAGATTCTACAACCTTCCTAGGCAACTTATTCCAGTGTTTAACCACCCTGACAGCTAAAAAGTTTTTCCTAATGTCCAACCTAAACCTCCCTTTCTGCAGTTTAAGCCCATTGCTTCTTATCCTGTCCTC